TTTTCCTTTAATCCACCAAGAATGTTCACTTCACAGGATGTGATATTATCTGATTAACTTTTCACACCGGGAAAAATGTCTTATAAATCTCACTTTTAACTTTCTTTTCTATTAGTTACTACAAAAAAGTTGCCTAAGGCATCCTTATCTTTCCTATTTTTTATCCTGTACGAATTAGCAAAAAGCCCTTCATACCTCATCTCTGTATTACTTACAAAGGTCATTGAAAACATAAAACTTTTCAAGCAGCTTTTGTTTTGTGAACTTTAAACATGCAGGGAAAATTGTTTGTAAATGTCATGCTCAGATAACATCATCAGAATTTACAAAATTTAAACAGAAAAATAAAATAATCATTATTTTCTGAAAATTGGGATTTGTTCTTTGTAATACTGTATACAAATATAATTTGCAACGATCAGTTGTTTCAGAATCTACTTTCCAGAAAGGTTTCCTGTACCACATGGGGTAGATGAAGACAGGTAAACATGCTCCTTTGACATGCCCACCTGCCACAGCTGTTCATCTCTTGACTGAACGTAACAGGAGACATAGGAGACATAACTTCAGGGGAAGAGCACATGTCTCACTGACATTTGTTCAAGCTGGCAGATACCCAGTTCACCTGTGTCTGGATTTTGCCAGAAGCAGGCAACCTGACCAGGTAGCATCTACTTCAGCTGAATGGGGAAACCCAGTCACACTTGGCTAGTGACCCAGGTTCATACCAAAGACATCTGTAGTGAGCAGCTCGATGAGCACTCTTGCCAAATATTGGCCGTGTCATGAAGGAACAGGTAAATATATGTACCTGTATATACTGTATATATACATTGAAAAACCTTCAAGTACAGTAGCTGATTTATCAGCAGAAAAAAAACTTGCAATGTGTAAAAACAGATTTCTTATTGATATGATGTACTTTTGAGAGTCAATGTACATGCATCCAATAAGGTACTATAGTATTAAGTAACACTTTTACCTTTTTATATTGATTACGGCTAATATGGCTAGCCTGATACTTTTTCAGTCAAGAGGAACTACTTACTGTACTGGTAACAATTATATCACCTGTATCACCAGCTACTGTTAATGCTTAGCTGTACTACAGTAGGAGCAAATGCAAAATGGAATTAATCACCAGTAATGCTAAAAGCAGCTCCCCCCTTCTGTTCATTTATATGCAGTTCTGTACTCCTCACATTTAGTTCAGCATGTTAACATGTAATTTGTTGTTAGTTTTTTATAATACTATTTTGTATCTACTACATAATTCATAATAATATTTTGAAGGGTTTTAGCTCATATTTTTTCCATTATCCCAGGATGTCTTTGCAGATCCAACTCAAAAAACAACTTATGCAAAGTTCTTTTTGACCAGGAATGGCATTTTTACATCAAATCTGTTTTTATTAACCACACTGGTTTGCAATCCTGTGTTTAAAATAGCTCCTCTACCCACTAGGTTTAATATTATTAAATACTACGAGGCCCACATTTCCTGAGGATAGGAATAAACTTGCAGAAGAACATATTATTTAAAACCACATTTAAAAAAGGATTCTAAAGCTTTCAGTTTTCTGGGGGAATGTATTGGACTATGATACTCAGAGACATCGGGGATTTAAGTTTCCTTCCTATGTGCTTTTACATGAGGCTTTAAAATAACTATTATGCATAAAATAATAAATGCTTTACAAAATATAGTTACTAAGTCATATTTTGCATTGACTGAATCAGATATACAGTGGGTATAGAAAATCACCATCCCCTTTCAAAATGTGTACCTTTTGTTGTATGACACAAATTAATTTAGGCTTGTTCCATTTTTATTTACAGACAGTAACCCAAATTAGCCAAGTGAAAATACAATTCTAAAACATTCTGAAAATTAATTAATATTACAACAGCAAAATTCCTTATTTGGATAAGTGAACAACCCCCTTACAATTGCATTTGTAAACTTGTTCAGGTATAACGCATCACCTTACAGATAACAGAACATACTAATTGTCTCCCACCTGTGATCAACTGTGGTGATTTTGATTAGTTCAGAATAAAAGCAGCTGTTTCTAGAGGATTCCACTGCTTGGAAGTGCTTTTCAAAGCAAATAATCCACTATGGGCGGAAAGGCGCTTTCAAAAGAACTTTGAGATATTTTTGGAAAGGCACAAGTCAGGAAATGGGTATAAAAAAATTTCAAAGGTTTTAATTATCCCGTGGAGCACAGTGAAGACTATCATTAAGAAGTGGAAGGCATATGGCACCACCCAGACCTTGCCTAGATCAGGCCGTCCCTCCAAACTGGATGATCGAGCAAGAAGGAGACTGATCAGAGGCTACCAAGAGGCCGATGGCAACTTTGAACGAGCTACAGGCCTTTATGGCAAAGACTGGTGATTGCGTGCATGTGACGACAAAAACACTCCACAAATCTGGCCTGTATGGGAGAGTGGCAAGTAAAAAGTCACTCCTTAAAAAAGCCACATCAAGTCTAATTTATGTTTTGCTAAAAAGCACCCTAAAGAAAAATGAGACCAGAATTGAACGTTTTGGCTGGAATGCAAAACAGTACGACTGGTGAAAACCCAATATATCTTACCATCCAAAGGACACCATTCCTACAGTAAAGTACGGTGGTGGCAGCATCCTGCTGTGGGGGTGTCTCTTCAGCTGGGACTGGGGCACTTGTCAGGATAGAACGGAAGAAGGATGGTGCAAAATACAGGCAAATTCTTGATGAAAACTTGCAGCCCTCAGCCAGGAAGTTGAAAATGGGAAGATGATTCACCTTTCGACATGAAAATGACCCAAAGCACACCACCAAAGCAACCGTACAGTGGCTGAATGTCCTGAAAGGCTGAAAGGAAGGTGAATGTCCTTGAGTGGTCTAGTCAGAGCCTTGACCTAAATCCCATCGAATCTCTTTGAAATGACTTGAAGAGGGCAGTCCATCAACAGTCACCACGCAGTTTGACTGAGCTTGAACAATTCTGTAAGCAGGAATGGGCAAATATTCCTCCCTCTAGGTGTGCAAAGTTAGTAGAGATGTATCCAAACAGACTTAAGGCTGTAATTCAAGCAAAAGGTGCTTCTACCAAATATTAACTCAGGGGGGTGTTCTCTTATCCAACCCAGTTATTTTACTTTATTTTATTTTTTCAGAACTTTTGCTTTCTTTTTTCATTTGGATATTGCAAGGTGCAATTTGTAAGTAAAACTGGAAAAAGTCTGATTTTATTTGTCTTCTTTTTGGGCTTTAGGGCAACAAAAGGAACATTTGAAAGGGGGTGGTGACTTTCTATACCCACTGTACTACTGTAGTGTTGTCCCAAAATGGTTCCCAGATACGTAAAAGAACTCCTCTGGGTTCTTTCGCAAGGGTAGTACTATAGTACTATTTCACCTATACATCTGTTCATTCCTCAATGACTCAGAAGTCACAGAGGTCAGAGATCACATGGAGCCAAAAAAATTGGTGTATCTCAGTCACACTTGGATAGTGACAATGAGTGGATCAGAGTTCTGCCTGCCTTTACATGGAAACCCCATTCCAAATGGTTTCCTCATGTTTAAGTAATTTTTAAAAGCACGTTCTTAACTGATACCAAAGTATCGTGATTCAGGATATCAGTTAAACAAATAAGAAAAAATCGTCATTAGTAAATTGGATGCTTATATATTTTAAATATCTGACTAGAGGCATGACTGAGCTGGGACTTCCACAATAACTCTTCACTGCCTACAATAGCAGAAGGCTAGTATGTCCAAGGTGAAACTAGATTTCTATTTCAACGTGTAATGGACGAGGAGGATCTTCAGTGGCCCTATTCTCTCTGTTTAAAAATCGATACTATACATTGGAAGTGCTTGACTGAACAAGCTGAATGATATTAACTTACTCTGGGATGGCTAATCCTGATTTACAGAGTATTTTGCACAGTAACTATATCAGGGGATTTTCATAATTGCACTTCAATGTTCACCGTGAAACTTTTTTAATGAAAATAACAGCTCTCACCTTATCAGCTTATTGAAGTTGATCACAACAGAAGACGGCAATACATTGCACTCCTAATAGTGCCTCATTCAGAGTGTACATCTGCAGATGCTTGCACAATAGAATCTGCCTTATTTAGCAATGCCTGTTCACAAGCTTACTACAGTACATGCTGTGTTCCTTTTAGTATAGAAGAACCTATTATATCTTTGAGAAGTTCATCCACACTGCCGTATAATGATTGACAAGCAAATCTACATGCATTTAAGATTGTTCTTAATTACATTCCAAAGCACAATACAGGAAATAAATTCATGCCTTGCCTCAGAGAGCAGTTATTTGTGGTTCTCATGAAAGAATCAATGTGATTGGAAAGGTGTGTATATTTTTAAGTAAACGCAAAAAATTGGTGTAGACAGCTTCTGTCTAAACTTCTAGTACAAATGTCATTCCCTGAAGCTTTTTTTATTTTAACACTTTAATGGTAAGAACCTATAATGACTATTACTATTTTAAACCTGCTTCTGTAAACAAAAACTGAGCAATTAAGCCACTTTACACCCTTGTTAAAATTAGTTTATGTCAAATTTTCCTCTCAATGGAATAACACCAATATTTTACGTGAAGCTTTCTTTTCTTCAGGAATAAACTGGCAGGCATATTCTTTGACAAAAGACTTCATCTTGATTTGTATAAATATATAGTATGAGTTACCCATTCAGTCAAATTGACGGCACTCAATGCAAGGACATTTTATACAATTAGGTAATTGTAAATGATGGAACAAGGCAGACAGCACTGTAGGCTTTTTAAAATTAAAAACTTAATGCTTACAATGCAGTTTAAAAATGACTGCATGTTAGAACAATTGCTCATATTGCCATGTTATCAGTGATAAAGACAGCTCCCTCTGGTGACAGCCTTTGAAGCAAAATGAAAAGTGTTTAGATTAGAATTGCACGTATGAAAGAGAGTTATAAGATCATTTTATTTTCTTACCCTGGCAGTAGGTTTCTTGATGGAGAACCCTCTGTACCACCCTAAGAAAAAAAAATAAGAATTTACTGGAGACATTAAAATTAAATTTTGCCTTAATGATTTATTGTACGTTTTCAATATTGTTTTACTTCGTATTAATTACAAACAGATTTGTACAGTATGTGCGGCAACCGAAAGCACCCAGTATGGTGAAGACTATCCTTCAGTGCTCTCAGCTGCTGACTTTACCTGTGTCTAAACAAAAATTAAAGACATTTAAAAACATATATTATTACTATAAGAATACACTACAAATGTACACATGTACAGATGAGGACCTTAAAACTACAGCTCACATTGCAGATTGAATAATTAAATTAACAAATGGGAAAACCTGCATTGAGAGCAAATTATTATGCCCAGGTTGAGCCTGAACGCAGCAGGGAGTCCAGATATTGTAAACATATTCTTCAGTTTATTTTAAAGTTCTTCTAATTTTGCAATTTATACTTCAATGTAATTTCAGTCTATTTTTCTAAATATATTTGTATGTATAGGGCATTGTGCTTTGTACCAAAAAATCACACACTGCAAAACAGAAAAAGGTCTGAATATGTTAGACAAGGTTCTTTAATTCACACAGCACTGAAAGAAAGTTAAAAGACACAGGTACAAAATTACTTATGGGGATCCTTTACTGTTCATATCTTCTAAAATAAATTAGATTAAAAAGTATATACAGGTTTGAATTGACACCTTACACTCACTGCATTGCAGTATATTGAACATGTTGCCTGCCTCTTATGTGCTCAACCAGTAAATGTATGTAACAAAGACAAAGGAACTGGTGGTAAATTTCAGGAGGAGAAAGGTCAAACCTACTCCTGTCTACATCCATGGGAGTGGCATGGAGATGGTGGACTCGTACAAGTACCTGGGAGTGCACATCGACAATAGACTGGAATGGTCTAAGAACATCGAGGCCATCTATAAGAAGGGACAGAGCCAACTTTACTTCTTGAGGAGGCTCAGGTCCTTCAATGTATGTAGTAAGATGCTACATATGTTCTATCAGTCGGTGGTAGCAAGCGCCATTTTCTACGCATTGGTATGCTGGGGCCCTGGGATTAGAGCAGTGGATTCTAAAAGGCTGAACAAGCTCATCAGGAGAGCAAGCTCTGTCATTGGGTCTGACCTGGACCCCTTGGAGGTAGTGGCTGAAAGGAGAATGGTGTCTAAACTAGAGGCCATCATGGACAACATCTCCCATCCCCTCTATGACAGGCTTGTAGAAATGAAGAGCACGTTCAGCAGTAGACTGATTCATCCACGGTGCGACAGGGAGCGCTACAGGAGGTCATTCTTGCCTTCTGCCATAAGACTGTACAACGAATCCACCTTGCGTCTGGGCAGAGGCAACATTGACAGTGACCTGTTTCTGGACTGAACGCATCTACACATCTACTGCTACTGTACATCTGTTCTCTTTCTTTTTCCCGTTTACAACCGTTTTTTGTGCAATATATGCCAGGGACCCGTGCAGTACATTTATATTTATATCTATATCTATATTTACATTCATATGTATGATACGATTTTTCTGCGTACTGTTCTGTTCTACTTTGTTCTTTGTGTGTCCGGACTGTGAGTAACTCTTTTAGTGCACCCCTCACTGTACTGATTGTATTGTATGTATTGTACTATTATTATTATTGTATAATTTGTTACACTGTGGCTGTGTTGTCTGTGTAAAGCTGCTGTTGCACTGCAATTTCCCTCACGGGATCAATAAAGTATTTATCTAAATACAGTATGAAAACAAACTTGGAATGTATTGCATATAAGCAGACCCCAAAATTCAATGCATTTAAACTTTTTTTTAAAGTAAGCTTAACCCAGGTTTATGCTGATCATGCCTCCCAAGTAATCTGAAGCATTCTAATGCTGTTGGTTATCCAAATTAAGAACAAACAATTCAATTACAAACTTTACTAATACTAACTGTATTATCTTTGAATAAATAAAATAAAATAAATCTGGTCATGAAAATGGATCAGTTATAAAGTTTAGAAATACAATTTAATGTAACCCTAAGAAGCAGTTTTGCTACTGTATAATTCCATAGACATGAATTCTATTCCATAGATGTGAAAGATTAATTATATTACAGACCAGATTCTATACTGTATATAATAGAAAACATTTATATTCATCCATAGGTACAGTAATATTGTGACTCTTTCTATACATGACAGCTTCATATGTGAGAAAAAAATGTCTCATAAGTAGATTAGTTTCTTTAGAATGGCCTAATCCTCAAGATTTCAACATGCTGATTTCCCTGACTGTATCTTTCTTTGCATCTATTCATAGCCAGTGAGCTGAAAGGGAAACTAGAAAGCTCTAAACCTTGATTAAAAATGCTCCATAGCTACTGTTCCATTTTTATCTGAATGGCTTTTAGCCATGAATAATAAAACAGAATTGTGATCTTGTTAACATTTATGCATCATGAACCAGAAGCTTTGTTTCTAAAACTGTTTTCCGAATGGAAAATGCACAGAATTTATTTTCACTAAAACAGAAGAGTTGCACAGTGGATATCTCTGGCACTTCCTCTGCACCACAGATATATTTTTTGTTATACTGTATTTAGCTTGTCTGTTCAAGGAATCATGCAACAGGAGCCATCAACACATGTAGTATTGCTTTACAAGTCATGCTGATGCAGATGAAATGGCACAGCCTCCTCTCATTGGATCACAAGAGTTTCATTATCAAGTTCATTGTCATTATACTCATATACAGGTACCCGTATATGGTATAACAAAATGCTATTTAGCTAGCTCTCGGACATAAGTAGTACAAGAAAAAAAACAACAACAATACAATTGTATAACAAAAGAAAGACAGAGACAACAGGCAGTGTGCAAAAAACAACAACAGACGATGTGCAAAAACAGCAACAGGCAATGTGCAAAAAAAAACAACAACAGGCAATGTGCAAAACAACAAAAAGGTAACAGGTTATGTGCAAAAATATGCATAAACAGAATGAAATAAAGGGATAGAAATTATGGGGAGTGAGCTTTTGACATGTATGGTAGAGGTAGATTTTCAATGTGTGTTTGGGTTTTTGGTAAGAAAGAAAGACAGGAAGAAGGCACTGTGAGGTTCAGATCATAGGTGAGAGGTGAGGTGAGAGTGAGAGAGGCTGGGAGTTTAATAGTTTGATCGTGCGGGGGTAAAAACTGTCTCTGAGTCTGGTAGTCCGGGCCCGAATGCTCCGGTACCGTTTTCCAGATGGTAGCAGATCATAAAGTCTGTAGCTGGGGTGTGTGGGGTCTTTGATGATGCTTAGAGCTTTCCTCAAGCACCCTCTGTCATAAATGTCCTGGATAGATGGGAGGGCAACCCCAGTGATGGACTGGGCAGTTTTCACCACCCGCTGTAGGGCTTTGCAGTCAGCAGCACTGCACTGCACTAAGTTTCTTGACTAGTTTCTCTGGGATGATAGTGTTAAAAGCTGAGCTGAAGTCGATGAATAGTAGTCTTGTGTATGTGTTCTTTTTGTCCAGATGGGATAGGGCAGTGTGTATGGCAATGGAGATTGTGTCATCTGTGGATCTGTTGGACCGGTAGGCAAACTGGTACGGGTCCACTGTGTTTGGAATGGTGTCCTTAATGTGCTTCATGACCAGCCTCTCGAAGCACTTCATGATGACAGGTGTTAGTGCCACTGGTCGGTAGTCATTAAGACATGTCACTGTGGTTTTCTTTGGTATTGGGATGATGGTGGTTGTCTTGAAGCAGGTGGGGACCAGAGACATGTTGAAAATGTCTGTGAATACACCCGCCAGTTGATTGGCGCAGGCTCTGAGGAGGCGACTGGGTATGCCGTTGGGTCCTGCAGCCTTGCGTGTGTTCACTTTTAGCAGAGATCTCCTCACCTCATCTGCAGACAGTGAGAGCAGCTGGTCAGCTGCGGAGAGTGCAGTTCTGATGACTGGTTTTGTGTTGTTGGCTTCAAACCGAGCATAGAAGGTGTTGAGCTCGTTAGGCAGGGAGGCATCATGGGCAGGTGCACAGATTATATAGCATATATTGTACATACGTAAGGTGTGCCCAATTTATTTTCCCTGTTTCTCTCCAAGACGATGCTTGAGTGAACTAAGAAGGGCGGGGGTAATGTGAGCAAGCTGAGGCTTGGTTTTAGTCTCCTCCTTTTAAGAGAGTAAATTGGACACATCTGCCTTGATTGAATGGTCAAAATCAAAAGAGAAACAAGAATGAGAGGGCAAAAACAGTAACTATTTAAGCTCTTTCTACTGTGTATACAGGATGTGTCTTTAGCATAGAACACAGAAATTGCTTATTCACACAAAGAATAGCTTATGCATCAAGCTGTTTCAAAGTTTTTCTTGATGTTTCAAGAAATAGCTGGCACTCTGTATCAAATATCTGCTAGTAAATTAAACAAAAAAGACGGACAGAATGGTTCCCCTTCCTTTCAAAATGTTTTGTGGTTCTAGAAATCTGAAAAGAAATTACAACTAATAATGTAGGTTTTAAAATTAATACATTGCTTTAAAACAAAACTTAAACAAAATTCTTACTAGATCCTGCCACCTACAGTACAGTACACCTACAGTAGATCTGATCATTGCATCCCTCAGGTTTCTTCCAGATTTAATAATAGCTTCACAGCTATCATGGCTATCACCAGTTCCCTCTTCACCTTTCTCCCATTCATTCCCCAAACCAGCAAACTAAAGACATTAATTAAACTGTCTAAATCTGTCTAAATCAATTTGATACTCCCCTTTGATAGCTTGAAATGTTGTTAGAGTCACAGGACATGCTTCATCACAATAATAGAAAAAAAGTATCAGTAGTACTGTATGTTAGCACACGTAGGGAAGAAAAAACCCTTGTATTGTGCTGTCTAAAGACTTTGACTCACATCACTAGTAAAGTGGGGGGAAAAAAAACTGTGACATTCGACTTTAAATTGCTGTAAAGCCCAGGAATAAATAAGTGGTTTTGAAGTTGGATTTGCTCA